CTTCATTTGCTGATAAGTTGAAGGAAGGAACAGATACTGGTTTTGTTTTTCGTTTTATTAGTGACATTGACCTAATACAGACTCGTTCATACTGAAATCAAGAGAAAGGTATCCGGGAAAAAAGGACAAAAACATAAAAGGATCCTATACAAAAAGAACATACTCCCATTTAGATCTTCAGCAACCCTTCGATTAGATTGTTGTCTACTGCACGAGCAGTTAGATAATTTGCATGTAGATAGATGATCTCGCTGCCTTGTTCATAATTACAGAAAGAGAAAGCGCATAATCTGTACACAAATCAAATGTGAATATTGATCAGTAACAAAGTATCGATGAGATACTGAGACTTAGTTACACGCATTTCATTGGCAAAAATTTTCCAGGGCTTTTGCCGAAGGTAGTGAGGGGAGACTTACAGCTTCTGGGAATAGTTTTTCTCGCTTCTAACTCATGGAGTTTTATTGCACTGTACGGTGGGCACGTGGCGGTAACAATACCTTGTGATCAGGATAAGTCATCCTTATTCACTTCAGATCCTGATTCTTGTATTTGTAATGTACAATCCTTCCACTCCACCGACCCTAACTGACATACGGTTTGTAACGGGGTGATACGTGCCCTTGTGAGAACGGTTGAGTCGCACGAGATTATGTGACCGTACATAGAATTGTATTTTGGAGTAATAACTCAGCAATGTGGCTACACCGTAGTCGCAGCTCAAACAATAAAATACATTTTTGGTTTTGAAAAACAGTGTTTCGTGCCTTGGTAAAGCCTTACCAAGGCAAATTGCGATTCACTACACTTGTACTGGTTCTTTTAACAACATGAGGTCGGCGACCTTAGCTTATCTTGCTCTAAGATAAGAGCTACGACAACCTCACTGCACTTGGTAGTTCTCGAAGTCAATCTACGCCTGAGTCGTTATGACTGATCTTCTGTGAGGATAAAGGAATACTCCTATTTGCCCCAGGGCATGCAGGATGGGCTTAATAAGCTGATGCCCAGAGGGCGTGGAGCACCTCGTTGCGCAAGGGTCCGAGGCCATAAGCGCGCGCCTAGAGGCGTTTTCAAATCATGAAAATGCTCCGTTAGGGCACTTACAGCAAAGGCCGTCAGCGCCGACAGCGTCTGTAACGCCATCGTCGACGACGGGTGACTCCTTCCGGCCAAGGCCGCTCATGGTCAGTGTTAAGACCTTCGAGGGTAAGGATGAAGAGAATTTCCTGCTGGCCGAGATGGCTATGGCATCCACCATGCTCCAAAATGAGCAACAGCGCGTGGCGCTAGCTATGTCCAAGCTCGGGGGCCGAGCGCGATAATGTGCACTAATGTGTAGTTAGCTGTGTTCCCCTCCTGGAAAAGCTGAAGCGTCAACTTCTGCGTGTGCTGAGTACACCCTTTCTGCTACAGCTAGTATTTTCGACAGGGCAAGAAAGTTTGTGGACTTTGTCCAAGAGTTGGGAGCTCTTATTGCCGGGAAGGCTGCAGATCCTCTCCCAGAGGTGGTCGCAGTAACCGTCTCTTTGGAGGGCTTCAGCACTAACGTTGTAAAAAAGAAGTTTTTCGTGTGCATCCGTCTTCTTTTGAAGAAGGGGTGTAAGTGGGATTGAATGCCGATTTTAACTTTAAGTCGACACGACTTGGTTGGATTGCACACCCTTAGAGCCTGCGAGCGGGCCTGAGCCAATGAATCTAAGCCATGCCAAAAATGAGGAGGGAGGGCTCCGAGCTGCAGAGCAGCGTGTAAATACTCGACGGTGTTTTTTTTGTGGAGACACCCGTCACCTTCGGATGGGTTGTCTTTTGCGCAAGGTGCGTAAAGGTCCATTATCCCGACGTCCCGCTTCTATCCCGTATGGTTTGACGCCGGGAACGAGAACACCGAGTACGCACGGAGCATCAGTGGGTTATAACTGACCTCTGTTGAACCTCGAAGAGGTAGAGGGCAGCAGAGCCCAGCCCCGAAGAGCTGCGAGTTCC